AAGTAAAGCATGCTAGAGTTTAAGTGAGTTTTTTAAACCGTTCCAAATATACCTGCTAGGGGACGTATAGCATAGTGGGTAAGCTTTTAACTTCATGACTGACAGGCTATGAGTTCCAGTCCCTGCTGTGGACATTGGTGTTGTACTCTTGAGCAAGGTGCTTTACTACTAGTTACTCCACTCAGCCCAGATATAGCATTGCTGGGTGGTAATCCCTGAAAAAGAATGGAGTCCCACCCAAGGAAGAATCAGCTGCTCTCTGTGTTTAATGCTATGGAAACCAGGAAAAGCTGTGGCTCTGGTATGGACCTTTTTTACCAATACAACTACAAAAACAGCATGTATATAATATCAGCAATGTGGAAGAATTTTTTTCCAGAGGATATCTAATGGGGAATTTAACATTTCACAAAAATATTTGCAAATATATTATATATAAATATAAATAATATAAATTTGGGGCAATTCAGTTTGCTCTTGTTCCTTGTGGTTTTGTAAACTGAACTACCTGGTTAGAGTATGCATATGTTGAGCATGTTTGATTTATTTCTGGATATGTGGAAGTTGACAACTATAGTTATTAGAAGATGTTACACCAAAATTGATCTGCCTTGAATATACACTATTTTAAGTTTTGATTTCAGTCCAAATTAATCAAGCTCACAGTTACCACAAAACATACAGCTCCAAGGTTTTAACTGGCATAGTTATCAAACGTGTATAGCAAAATAAAAATAACAGAAACCGTTTTAATGGAATTTAGAAACTGCACTCAAAATATTGGGGTGGAGCGGTGACACTGTGGCTAAGGATCTGTGCCTGTGGCTGGAAGGTTGGTGGTTGAAATCCCACAGCCAGCAGAGGACATCTACTCCGTTGGGCCCCTGAGCAAGGCCCTTTACCCCAGCTGCTCCAGAGGTGCTGTACAATGGCTGACCCTGCGCTCTGACCCCAAGCATCTCTCCCTGTCTATGTCTCATGGAGAGCAAGCTGGGGTATGTGAAAAGACAAATTCCTAATGTAAGAAATTGTATGTGGCTAATAAAGTGATGTGATGTTATGTTAAAGACACAAAGAGATTAGACATACTGGCATTTTTAATTAGAGATGTACTTAATACACTCATGAATGTGCATTGTTAGTCAGAATTAAAAAAATGTTATTTATTCATCAAATTAATTCATTTTAGCAGTGTTACATCAACAAGAATAAAGAAGAGAATACATTTTGCCTTTCACCTCAAAGACACTCCATATACTGAATAATGTCCTTCTAAAACACAATAATCTGAAAATGAACTGATTTTTAAATGTATGTATCAAAATGTAACCAAAGCACTGCACAAGTTTAAAGTGCACGCTCATTCACCATACCCAAGCAACAGTAATGCACTGATTTATAGTCTACTAAATGTTTACAAAAGCCTTCGTATTTTTTACTGGGTAATCAGTTACTGATAAAAGGTAATGAACCTACGTAAAACGAGTTGCTTGCATTTTTCCCATTTTTCTAAATTAACTATAAGTGTAATAAAACAATTTCAATTGTTTGTTTAAATGTCTAAAATGAAACCCCTATCTTCAGACTTTCACTATGAGAAGATATTTACAGACTTGGCTTTGGTTCATGCCAGAGTGATGACCTTCAAGTAGTATTCTTCTGTATGCAATATTAAAAAACTATTAGTCCAGCATGAATATATGCCATGTCATTTTGAAGTGATTACAACTGCTGGAAAACTGACAATTATATTACTTATATATATATAAAAGATTTACCTTCAAACTAATGCTTCCTTTTTGTTCTATTTTGTTTTACTATACATCTTTCAGTATTCGATGTTCTTGCTTCTTATTATCACCCATTCATTAAAAGAGGATCACAGCAAAAGCTGTGAAACTAAAAAGGGAAATAGGCCTAAAGTCTTTAAGCTAAATCTTGTTCAATATAGTGCAATATGGAAATAATTTCTGCAACACTTGACTTTTACAGACAGCCATGCAATATGGTCTCAGAATACAAATATCGACACATAAAAGAGGCTACATGTGCAGTGCCATTCACAGCAAGAAATATTTCACACAAAGAAAGGGGATATTCAAGAATCTGCCTAATGACTGAGGATTTTGTTTATGATGGCTATTCAAAGTGCCACACAAGTAACTTGAGGATTTTTCTTTGTAAATCTTTCACATAGAACTCAAAACAAAGCACACCTGGTTGAGGTCTATTCAGACTGGCTGAATTTTTTATTTTTCAATATCAGATTGCCCCTAGTCAGGGCTAATATTGATCCAATGCTAGATAAGCATGTGGGCTTTTCATATTCTGTGAAATCTCCAACATTGATTTATTTTTTGCATAAAACATTCACAGTGTGCAACACACCACTGCCTTTAAATGGTACGCTTATCACATGCATATATTTTAGAGGCCTATTCTTCTATTTTCTTTTTATAATACTTCCACTACTAGTAATAACACAAATGGTTCTATGAACACTTTGTAAAACATAATTATGTGGTTAAAATGATTATTATGTTTTTATGAAACATATGTTTTAAGGTTATAGGAAATCAACCATATGCAGAACCAGTAGTTTTTTTCTATATTGTATAGGGCCAATTTCATTCATAATTCATTAATGTAGTGTTTTCCTAAAATTGATTCTATTATGTTTCTTGTTTTATCTTGATTTTCTATACAATTGTTCTTCAGGAAAATCTTGCTAGGATGGTTTTGTAAGCTTAATAGTCATGTTATTTTAAGACCAGCAGTGCCCAGCATCCCACACTGAAAATGTCCCGATACAAGACATTTGGTGGTGGTATAAAATTCTTACAATTACACATGGCATAGACCCTCACTCAAATGACTAATGGTTGCCCTCTGACGAAAGCCTGCAACTTATCCTTAGCAAATAATGTGCTATAATAATGTGTAGTCATGCTACAAATGCTAAATACTTGAAAAAATAAAAAAGCTAGTTAAACCTCACACAAAAACCCCAACTGTAGTGGAAATACTAGTATTAGGAATATTAAAAATAATATCAATATTTTTGTAATACTAGTGCATGGTAATAAGTTTAAAACAGGCCCCCAGCAAATGTCCATAAAAAAATTGATAATCAGACATCTTGTACCTTGCTCAATGATGTATTTGCAGTTTCTGTTATTTTTAACTGGAAAGAAATGGACTGATTTTCTACTGTAAGCATCAAAATGTAATCAAAGCTAACTGAAAGCACATGCTCATTCCCCGTACTCAAGCAAAAGCAATGCATAGTTTTATGTTCAACTAAATGTTACAAAAACACTTCATCCACCCATTTTCTTTTCCAGTTCAGGGTCCCAGGGGGGCCAGAGCCCACCCCAGCATGCTACAGGTGCAAGGTAGTACACACCCCGGCAGGACACCAGTCCACCACAGGGCACACACAGACTCACACCAGGGACAATTAAGTTTTTCTTTGTACTATGGGAAGAAACCAACACAAACACAGGGAGAACATGCAAACTCCACACATATAGCACCCCAGTTCTGGGATTGGACCCAGTGCCTCAATGCTACAAAGCAGCAATACTAACCACTGTGCTAGCAAAACACTTCTCATTTCTTACTAAACGATCAGTTAAAAACAACATAGTTCAAATGGATAGAAAAAAATGACTACTGCTTTAAAAAATAAAGAAATGTAGTCAATGACCAGGCAGAAATGTAAAATGGTGGGATGATGAAGTAATAAAAAAGAGAATTCTATTATAACTGCTTTGAAATACTGCACTCAATTATATTTTCTTAATATGCTTAACTTGCATTTGTGTGAAGGCAAGAGAAAAGGGTGTATACTGCGATAAAGTATTTCCGATTTTACTTGGTTTCTGATTCAGTGGTCAAGTAACTGAATTTCATTTGTGCTCTGACTGCTTGGGTTGATAGCACTTAGAAGTCAGGAGACAAGGGCTGGACATTTTAGGTGCTAGCTCTGCCATCATTGCCTGGTAGTGTGTTTGGGAGGTGAATGTGGGGGAGGGTTATTTTAAAAAGGTTGGTGATTGCCCTCTAGGGGACAAAACACAGGAAGCCTTATTAGGAGCCTACACACCAAGTGCACCGCTGGCTGCCGTCCAAGCTTGGTGGAGGTGCTGCTTCAGAAGGGATGTCGCTTCTTGACACAGCAAACTCAGCAGGAGCTTCTGTGCTGCTAATCCACGTCTTTTTTCTCCTCTCAAAACTTTAAGGGCACAAACCACGAGATTCAAAGATCTGAAAGGTCTGTAAATCATGTTTTCAGTCAGCCTAGTCCTAAATATGAACCCGACTAGTGTATCAGTGTATCTCTGTATCAGTGTGAGTCGTGTAAAATGGGATTGCCTTTCAAAACTCCCCCAACATGAGCTGTTTGGGATATTTTCAACGTTTTCGTTTAAATTCCAGGTGGCACCAGACAACTAGCTGCTCACAACATAGCGAGCAAGCACGAGGGTTTTTGATATGAGTTAAGTGGTTATAATCTGTCAAACCTACATATATAAAATATATAGACGGAGACAATAAAAGCAGAAAGCCGCTACCGCAATTATGATAAATGATCACTTGAAGTGCAAGATTAGTGGTCAGTACAGCGATATACTAGATGTCTGCCTTAAATCAGTTCAACCAACACGAGCACGTTTCACTGTCAAAATACAGAAAAGAAAGAAAATGATGAATACCTGGCTTTACAATTCTTTTTTTACAGTTGAAATAGCATCTGACTTTTAACTTTTAATTACAGCGTAAAAACAGTGTCCTAACTGTAAAAAAAATGCTTCAAACCATTTTCATATACAGCTCTACATCCACTCCTTTCCAATCCTTAAACGAAACGGGGGGGGGGGGGGATCTGTTATGCATTTTGGTACCGGACAAAGACACAAAACGTTTTATCATCTCGGATTAATCAGTGTTAGCACCACGTCTTCACAATATAAATAACTGCAATCAAAAGCTGCACACGGCCGTAGCTGCAGCGTCCAAGCGCCACCTTCAGCATTCGCTCCCAGACTGGATTTGCAGAGCTGTCGAGGGTCACCAATATCCAGCTATCCAGCGAGTGTCACGTTAGACGCCGTGAATTTTTTTTTTTCAAATAAAAGTAAAAATAATTCTGTGTCGACAAGGCGGGGTGTACTACATGTGGGTTTTCTTTTACTGTGTTTCCGGCGCTGTCTTCGTTTATGACAAGAAAAGCGGCCGCTTTCTCATGCTTCTCCCCTAACTCCATGTGCTTAAAATGCCATGATGCCAGGCGGGCTCTGCATGGATCCGGACACTTCAAGCACGTCCCACCGACAGCTCTCGGCGCCAATGAAAACTGTGGGAGGAAAGCCACAAAGGGTTAAGGGACTCCAAGATCCTGTGGGGCGGAGTGGGAAGGACACGATTGGATAATTGTGGGTGACGTAGCCGACATGAAAAAGCTAATAACTTGTTAAGAAGGCAGCCTTCAACTTTAGGAAGAGTGTGCAGAGCCAGAGAGACGGGGAACAGGAGTGGATGTTTCAGAGAAGTAAGCGGAAAGTAGTTGGCTGTGGACTGTTCAGGTTCTGCAGTATTCACGGACATATAAAAGGGGACAATGGTGCAGCAGACGGAGAACAGTGAAACGGAAAGTAGCATGTCCAGAGAAGCTACCGACACAGAAGAGAACGAATTCATGGCTTGCAGTCCAGTCCCACTGAACCCAGACTGGTGCAAGACGGCAACTGGTCACATCAAGCGACCGATGAATGCTTTCATGGTCTGGTCTAAAATCGAAAGGAGAAAGATCATGGAGCAGTCTCCGGACATGCACAACGCAGAGATTTCCAAAAGGCTGGGAAAGCGATGGAAAATGCTAAAGGACAGTGAAAAGATCCCTTTCATCAGGGAAGCCGAGAGGCTTCGGCTAAAACACATGGCCGATTATCCAGACTACAAATACAGACCCAAGAAAAAACCAAAGCTCGACTCCTCTTCCAAGCCAAGCGCGCCGTCACCGGAGAAAGCCAACGTGAAAATTACTAAGACTTCGGGTAAGAAATGTACTAAACTAAAGTCCAGCAAGACCGGCAATAAATCAAATCATGATTATGGTGAAGACTACGGTTTTGCAAATCTAAAGGGTAATAAGACTGTTAAGAGTGTGCTTACGGATGAAGACGACGATGATGAATATGATGATGATTTGCAAGTTAGATTAAAGCAGGAGGATGAGGAGCAGATGAGGCCGTACAGTGTAGCGAAAGTCCCCGCCAGTCCAACCTTAAGTTCTTCTGCAGAGTCTGAAGGCGCTAGCATGTACGACGAAGTAAGAAACGCGGCACCGAACAGACTGTTTTACAATTTCAAAAACATAACGAAGCAGAGCACAACATACCCTGCTTCAATGTCACCAGCATCGTCCAGGTCGGTTTCCACTTCGTCCAGCTCCAGCGAAGATGCGGATGACCTGCTTTTCGATTTCAGCTTGAATTTTGCTCCTAACGCTCAAGGATCGGAACTGGGAAATCCAAATTCAGGAAATCTCTCTCTCTCCCTGGTGGATAAAGATTTGGACTCCTTTAGCGAGGGCAGCCTGGGCTCTCACTTTGAATTCCCAGACTATTGCACCCCTGAGCTCAGTGAAATGATAGCAGGGGACTGGCTGGAGGCGAACTTCTCAGACTTGGTGTTCACTTACTAAAATATCCACGAGCTAATAACAGGGAGGGAGAAATTAAAATTATATGTGCTGTCCAAGGCTTTCTCAACCCTGCCTCTTCTGTGGTTTAAATTGGGGGTTGGGGGTGGGGAGAAAAGAGGCGAAGTGAGGTTTGAGGAATTAAAGATGCTTATGAAGCTGGTACGGTTGCAAAAAAAAAAAGTCTGCAGACGTCTTTCTGGCAGCGTGACAGGGTTTTATGGATTTTTTCGGCGGGTCTACAATTAAACTGTTGAACTAAAATGGACCACTAAGGGAAATCTATGAACACTTCTATGCATCTTACCCTCTTGAAACTGCAGGGAGCTGAAAACGCAGACTGTGGACTGATCCGAATCAAATCTGTGAACTGGCGCTGTCCATTGCTTTCCGATACAATGGTTTTATGTGATTTCTATATACCGCAAACGTTTCTTTTTGTAATCGGTTCCTTTTACCTCCTGGTTTTGAATATACAGCAGCCTACACCTCTCAACACTACAGGTATGGGAGGTAACATTTTGATACATAACAGACCTCATCTTTTTAAAAGAAAAGTAAGATATTTTCAGGCGTATTTTTGTACAGTTAAAAGGGAATATTCTTACTGTTGTCAGTGAGTTTCAGGCACTTCTTCCCTTTTCATTTGGTTAGCATGCAAGCAAGTCCTGGTTTCAAGGATTAAAAGTAAAAAAAAAAAATCTTGCATCAAAATGCCTTGTGATTTTAAGCTAGGTTTTGTACAGTTGTAGATCAGGTTCGTTGAGTATTTGTAGGAAAAAAATGAATTGGGGGAAGTATAGACCTCAGAACTGTTATTAGTTTCAAGACTGTATATGTACTGTAATATAGAAAAGTTAGGAGTTTATGTATATCATACTCGTGATGTGTGGATGGCTCCCCAAATCGCAGGTGTGAAACTGGATTTTTTTTTTTAATTTCCTTTTTATGGCACATACTGAAAGTTTGTTTGTTTTTTTTCATTTTTGTGCAATATATTCTCTTAACACAGACCATCTGCATTTTTGTAGCAAATGATGGGGGGCGGGGGAGAAACAGACTCGTGCACTGTCACCATAATCTCTGGATGCTGAGGTCTGTCTCTTGATTAAATAAATCAGCTGGAACTGATAGCAAGTGGTTGTGTTGTGATCCGTTTCTTACCAGATTTCAAAGTCTCTGCATTAAGGATAACCTTAAACGAAGTTTTAACTTCACTTTTCCCTAATATGGCATGTAAATCCTGTGGGTGGTCTGAGCAAAGTATTGCATTTCGTTGTTCCACAAAATGGAATATTTATTTAAACTCGATTGCCTAGTTTTCATAAAGAGAACTACTTTAATATTGTGTTCATTGCACTTAATGGACCGCTGAAGAAAATGAAATCTGTTATTAAACGCATGATTTGGAATTTGGCTTCAATGAGCATAAACGTAAACCAACGATTCTGGATATTAGTTGCTTAATATTCCACGTGTCCATCTTTTGACTCATCTTTTAATAAATGATTACATCCAATCGTCACCTGTCCTTTCAGTTTGTGTATACTCTTAAATTAGTGGTTTGGGGTGGAAAAGGATGTGTCGGAAACGCCCTAGGGGGTTCTCCCTCTAAAATTTTTCACAAGAACAGCTTCATAGATCTTAATGTGTTAATTGTCAGCTTCCAAGTATTTTATTATAGTTATTAACTATATGATCAGATTTTACGCGGAAATTAATGTTTAACCGCTGGTAAGATGAATGCAGATGGGCGGAGTACAGAAGGTGGGCGTAAACGTCTGGCAGCGTGATTTAAAAATTAGAGGTCTTCAGCCTCGGTCTATTTGCACCATTATTTTATAGCTTAGAGGCGACTATGGAAAGATATTATATATTCATATATTAGGCTTTATCCAAAACATTTCCCAAAATGTTCTTGCTGCAATGTAAAATTACTGCATTTTTTTTTCCCCTGTTTTCGGGTTCTGTTCTCAATTGACAGAATTGTAATTATTGAGAAGATAACTCAACGGTTCATATTTACATATACAATTTCAAAATGGTCTGTTATGCGGCGCTACATTTTAATGTAGGTTAATCTGCATGTTGTCCCTCATGAGTTTTAAATAAGATTTAGATCGTTTTAGATTTTCTAAATCCCCTTTTTAACGTGAACTAGGGTACTATGCCTTTAATAAATTGAATTTTGCGCCTCCGTGCATAAAGCAATTTGATTGGTGAACTTTCCGTCACAATAGTGTGTAACGAGCTGCATTAATAATGCTGTCCAAGTCTGTTATTTTTTTTTTATATTACAAAATGCAGTGCTTCACGTACCCGCACCTATTCTAATCATAAATCTTTATTTTAAGGAACTAACAGTTGTTGGCCAGTCCCGAGACTTAAAAAAGGTTAAGAAATGAAACCTCCTTCTTTTCCATATTGTATTTACAGCTTGAGACTGGACTGGTAACATCCGTTTAAGGCACAATGTATCCATGCTAAACCTTAATACCAGAACTAACCATTAGACATTTGCTAAGAAGTACATTTAAAAATGATTACTTAATAAAGCATCACAGGGTTATACCATATATATATTTCTATCCCACGTGTTTTGTCCGGAACGTCTTCTGTCTACTATTATAGCTGTGTTGTGTTATTCAGGTGGATAATGCCTTTATTCCAGGCTACTTAGATAAATACTTGATATATAGAACTATCTAAAGAAAAAAAAAAGTATTTTTTTTCTGCATAAAACACCCATCTATTGTGGTCCACTTAATGTCATACATTTAACAAGTGCACATAATGACATTTATTAACGGAGTATAGATCATATTCCTTTTTATATTACATGCTTTATAAGGAAAGTGAATTTACTCAGCTCATCAAATTGATTAATTTTCAGCTCTTTATTAACACTACTGCACAGACTTCAGAAGGGAACAGGAACACTCTTAAAATATATATTTTTTAAACCATCAAGACATAAGACTTTTCATTTTTAAATTGACCCTTGATCGAGTTGAATCTTTGCCATATGTGTGATTGCATGGGTTCAGCTTTCCCATTCAGTAAGTTTAGCATATCTGTAATAAAACATTCAACTGGCTATTACTTTCCCTGACCTATTGGTCAAGGTTGCTAATGGATTCTGGGCAATTCCCAACAGAATTTGAACATTGATTTTGTGTTCCTCTGAAATATCTGCATATAGCTAATACTATTTGTTCATGATAAAATTCAGTTACTGACCTGTTAAGATGTTTTTTTTTTCTCCAGTATTCTTTGCATACTGGAGGTATAGACAGGTCTGTTTCTAAAATTATGCTCTTTTGGAATTTAAATCTACAGTTGGCCTAGTAACTTTAAGCTATATCAAGTTGTTTTCCTAAAAATGAAACGAATAACAGGTATGTGACAAGATGTGGATTTTGTTTTAATTTAAAGTTAATTTTTAATTGGCATATTTTAAATTATGCTTTTTGCAGATACATTGTAAGTTCTGCATGTCTTATGGTTAATAGGGTACAATACTACAATATTATCTCTGAAGTTTTTTTTTTTAATTAAGAGATTTAAAAAAATATTAGACTTAGTCTGTGAATATCCTGCATATGTATATTTGTAGGCAATTGAAAAAATAAAATCTCTCAACATAAAGCTTATTGGGTGATACACAAATGTTTTTTTTTTTGTAAAACCGATTAAATTATTCTGCTGGTCTGAATATGTTGATTTTTAATGTGGAGAGTTGTGTATGGGTAAGTATACATAAAGGCACTGTTCTAGAATTAAGAAGTTACCCTGGTAACAAAAGATCACAAAAGAATAGCAGGAGAGACCCTCTCCTTTCAACAACAAAAACATGGGATTCAAGCCTGGTATTTGTGTATACATCTTACACAATTCATGTAATCAGTGAAAATGCATAAAAAAATGACAAACAACAGTGCTGCTTATTAATTACTCATCTGTTTTGTTCTAAAATAAACCAAAAAAATGATCTAATGATGGCAGCTTCAGCTTGAGAGTACTCTAGCACAAAAAAGTGTTCAGTTGTAATGCTGTAATGACGGAGCAGAAGAGAACTGACATAGCTAGTGCAGCTTAATAAAATTATTACACTAACAGAATGCTGTCTCCAGTAATGCACTCCCACATTATAACAATAGTGCATCAAGCACTCCTAGGATCCCTGTAGTGTAAGTAGGTTGTCTATGATTTGTCAGTGGTATTGAAAATGCTAAAGGTTACATCATTATGAGCAGGGAGAAGATGATTGCAGAAGATCTTTTAGGGAGTGTCAATGAGGGAAAAAGAATCCTGAAGAAAAGAACACCCCAGGGAGGTATGAAAAATTCAATTTAAATCAGATTCTTAAAAAGAAAGCGACTCCATACTGAGATTTACCTTCACAGCCCCACGGCAGAATTGTTTTGAAAAATCGGACGGATTGTAACTTAATTTGTACATAATACGGAAAACGTCAGTGTTTCTGACAGTACTATAATTATGTTGCTGGAGAGGTGGTTTTTCTTCTTCAAATTTTGGTTGGGATTAGAAATAATTATAATAGTTTCACAGCAGGGAACAGAGCTACAGTATATAATGCAAACATATTTATGTCACAGTGGAAAGGTAGTAATTCCAACCCGTTTGCTTTCTACACTTGAAAGCCTATTCCATGTATAGCATATAGACCCTAGCATAAAATCCAAACATATAAAAGAAACGGTTTAATTGCTGAGGCTGCTCCACTATGTGATAGCTATCCATCTGCTGCCCTTTTGTATGGGAGGCAAAAAGCCTTGATCCTATGTGCTCTAAAGATGTTAATTATGTTAATCAAGCCACTGTATTGGTGAAATGGAAGCCAAGACTTAATTCCCTTATAGAGCTTCAACACCTGAACTCTGTAAGAAAATACAGTGTGTCAACACGAGTTAAGCTGGATTTGACTTGACAAGATAGAAATTAAAGCGATTAAGGTGCAGAAATACTTTAGCTTAGAAAGTAGTCAGTTCTGACTACTCTGTGTATATATATATTCATTAACAAATCTGTCATCAATGTTTTATTCTGTTATTATAACTTCAGCTACCCGGGCTTTAGCTTAAGCTTTTAGACTAAACCAGAGAGCAGGAGATGAATGTACAGGGATTGTTTTAGTCGTTTGGTTGTTCTTATATTACCATTATTCAGAAGACTTCAGTTATTCAGTATACTCTTTTATACTAAGTCTTTAGACCACATCCTATTACAATTATATTGTCAATAGTCCATACCATTGATTTTAAATCAATTAAAATATCTTTGCACTTACAGAGACCATGGTAATAATCCTTGGGAACATCCTCTTGCTTAGTTTTGTAAAACAATTATATTATTCAAATGTAAGCATTTCTTTCTAATGTTATGACAGTTTGATTTTTGTTTTAAATGTCAGTAATGAACAACGACAGCTACACAACAGATAGGAGTAGCGTTGGCCTGATCACATACAATTTGTTATAGATAACAAAATTCTCAGGGCTGACTGCTTGTAAAAAGCATCAGTGTATGAAGTGGCATTTTTTTTTATTCCTTTGAATGACTTATAGTTTCCCTCTTAGGCACTGAGTCCTGAATGGGGCCTAGATCGGGGGTGTCCAACTTCAGACACCAGGGACATTATCCAGCAGGTTTTATATGTCTCTTTAAACCTCTAGCTTCTTCAAAACATGGAAAGTGAACAACCTGTCAAAGTAAGCAAATAACGAGTTCAGTTAGGTAATTCAGGCGTCAGGTGGAAAGCATACCAGAAACCTTTTTTTTTCCTGTAGGACTGAAGCTGTGAACCACTGGCTTAGAGAGATCCTTCATTCTGCTTTGCGTCTTGGCTTTTATCTCCCTCTGAGGCCTTGAAAGGTTCTACTAACTTTTTCCGGGGGTATGTTTTTTATTTTTCAACCATGGCTCCCACTATTCCATTGAGACTGTGGTCACGACATCTGACTACACTCACTTCTAGCATTTGTGGTGTGAGGTCATTTACTTCTGGGGGGGGATTTTTATCTCACACCGATGCTCCCCTAATGCTGCCAGGGATACAACTCTTAATTGGTGAGAGGGATGTCCATTTTGGGAGCGTGGAGCAGACTTCCTCCAAAAGCAGAGAATGCATACCCCAAGTCCAGCTGGGCTCACATTCACTACATGAGCTCCAGGTCAGGAATACAAGCGTCCCAGAGACATTATGCTTGATTCATATGTTGATCTGAATCTCCAGTAGACCCAACATGAGATGTAGCTATCCCGTCACAGCCTGGAGTTTCCCTTTTGTCCCTGCGCAGACCTGCTCAGAAATGCAGGAACTCTTCCCGGGCAGATTAGGAAAGTTAGAGGCGCTAGTGTTGATGAGGGCCCAGGCACATAACCAGTGGCACACTAGATGTTCAGTCAGACCTCACCACCTCATTAATGCTGTCTCTCATTGAGGGTGTGACCAAGCTACTGCAAATGCCACTTAACACTTCGGTTGTTCTGTCAGAG